GGCTCTCACTGGCAAGAATGCGCAATTTGTTTGGTCGAAAGCTTGCGACGCTTCCTTCCGCGCCCTGAAGTCTGCGCTGTCGAGTGCTCCGGTTATGGCATTCCCGGACTTCGGACCAGATGCCGGTCCCTTCCTTCTGGACACAGATGCCTCGAAAGTGTCCATTGGTGGTGTCCTGAGCCAAGTGCAGGACCAGGTGGAACGCCCCATTGCGTTTGGTGGGCGCATAATGTCGAAAGCGGAGCGTAACTATGACGCCAGTGATCGCGAAGCCCTGGCCCTTGTCTTTTTCGCCAACCACTTCCGGCATTATCTGCTTGGTCGCGAATTCACTGCAAGGACAGACAATACCGTGTTAACTGCGTTGCGGGCAACCAAGGAGCCCCGTGGTCGCAAAGCTCGATGGATTGAGGCTTTGGCCGAATTCGAGTTTGCTGTTGTGCACCGCCCTGGTTCTCGACACAGGAATGCCGATGCTATGTCCCGCGTGGTGACCGATGTGCCGTCTCCTCCGCCGAGTCCGCCGCCTCTTGTCCGTGATGTTCCGTTGTCAGCTGCTGATGAAATGCCACTTGCTGCTGATGTTCCTCCGGCTGCCGAGATTCTTCCTCCAGCCATTTTTGTTCGTCCTCCTGGTGCCTCTGCCGCTGGACCGTTGCCGGATTGTTACAAGCCTCAGAGTCTTCTTGCTCCGTATGCTGATCCTGCTCTGTCTGAGTGTTTCACCAGATATGATGCTGCCAGTGGCAAGTTTGTTCGTCCGCCTGAAGCCGTTTCCCGTCCTCCCGAATGTCAACTGCCTGCCTTTACTGCTTCTCGTCCTGACCCGATTACGCTGTCCGATGATGATTTTCCGCCGCTACAGCCGCCGTCGTCTGATCCGGTCCGTACTTCTTCTCCTGTTTCTCGTCGTTCTGGCCGTGTTCGCACTGCACCTGCTCGACTAGCTGACTATGTCCTGGACTGAGTTTATTATTTGGTTTGTTTTCTTTTGTTGTTTCCTAGGTATTTCGTTCATTCCCGTGGACGTGAATTTTAGCTAGGGGGGCACAGTGTAATAGGTGTATGTATGCTACGACCTGAATACTCACTATTTGTATTTCCCGCTCGTTCCCCTTGGCAATGAGCACTCACATAGAAGAGCGCATGCTCCAGTTCTAGTCTAGTCTTGAGTTGTCGTTGTCCTGTTCTCCTTCTGTCTACACTCTTATCAAATACTTCTAATTATCTAATCATATAAAACCCTTGTGTTCCGGTGTGAGGGGGCATCATTAGCCGGGAGCAGCTAACAAATATATCTGTTGCATACTCCAATTGTGGCCTGCGCTACTATTAGAGACGGTGCTCTTATTATTTCAAACAACCCTCACCCCGGGTCATTATTGGAAACCGGGGCATTTACTAGAGAAGAGCACAGTCTCTAATAGTAGCGCGGGCCACAATTGGAGTATGCAACAAATAATATTGACTGCATATAAAACAGCAGTACAACATGCCAAGAACATTTTGTAAGGAGGTTTTCGGTCTTCTGCTTCCTTCCTGGCGCCATTGGTATTGTGAAACATCAGTTTTAACAATATTCCTGAGTTTATGGTAGAGAAAATCAGTCTTGATATGGTCAGTTTATGCCTGCATAGACTGGAGTTGGCTTGATAGTTGACAATTGAAAAATAAGAGCCCAGTCTCCAATAATAGCACAGTTTCTAATAGTAGCGCGGGTAGAGCTGTCACTGAAATAATAAGAACCCCGGGCTCTTATCAGAGAAAATACGGTAATACTCCGCATTGGTTTAAGGGAAAGACGCACACGGGAAAAGCCTGAAGAAAAAGCTGAATATCGCCACCAGGACTCAAGCCAGGGACCCTTACTTATGGCCAACTATGCTCCACCACTAAGCATGTGTAGTGACTACACAGTCACCAGCACACTCAGTCCATTACCACTCGGATGTCTCGTTTAGACAAAGAACCATGAAACTAAAGATGAACAGCAAGATATCCATGCATGCCAGAGAGGCAAGGTGACCAAGCCATTACGGGCACCAAGTAGGCCCAGTTAGGGTAAAGATGAACAGCAAGATATCCATGCATGCCAGAGAGGCAAGGTGACCAAGCCATTACGGGCACCAAGTAGGCCCAGTTAGGGTCACCAGGTCATGCACTCTGGATGTGCGGGTAACCCCATACGGGTAATGTGTATACTAAATAAGGTGAGTGCATAAAGCATCACTACATCTCCCTTCTGAGACAAAAGGCTCATACAAAGTAACCTAAAAGAAGAAAGAGGGGAAGGAGAAGAGAAAGGTAGGTGCAACAAAACAAATAATGTAGGTAGTCGGAATGATACATGTGCAATAGGTTGTCTATGTGCACAGTAGCCGGGATACGTCAGCTGTAGAGAGTCAACACTCTTCGATGAGACGCCGCGCTGGCTGGCCACGATTGTGACGAATTGGTCGATCTGGCTCGGCTGCATTTGGCTGGGCATTACACACAGGGCCATCAGTGTCGACCGGTGGTGCTGATGGTTGCTGGATCAAATGGTGCCGATTCCTTCGAAGCGTTGCTCCCGAAGACCCGATGCGTACACGATACGAGCGGTCACTGAGCTGTTCCAGCACAGTGCCTTCCGCACCAGTGTCAGCTAGCCAAACCTTGTCTCCTGGTTGCAACACAGGGAGGGGGAGTGTTGCATGCCTCCGATCAAAGTCTGCTTTCTGACGGTCTTGTTGAGTTGCTTCTTTCTCAGCGACGGCGGTCAGATCAGGCCATTCCGGTTTTAGCTGCTCTGCAGTGACTGGCAGTGTTGTCCGGAGGCGGCGACCGAATAGAAGCTGAGCTGGTGCGAACCCGTTTGCTAATGGCGTAGCACGGTAAGCGAGGAGTGCGTCTGCTAAGCTGGTATTCTTCTCCAGAAGACCCTTGGCGGTGCGTACAGCTCGTTCCGCTTCGCCGTTAGATTGCGGGTACTGCGGGCTTGACGTTCGGTGTGTGAAACCATACGATGTGGCAAAACTTCGAAATTCGGCACTGCCGAATTGCGGCCCGTTGTCGGAGACCACTGTGTCTGGAATCCCGTGAACGGCAAATAGACTGTGCAAGTGTGCGATGACACGAGCAGATGTGGTGGACGTCATGGGGATTACGTCTAGGTAGCGAGATAGGTAGTCAACGACGACAAGGTACGACTTTCCTCTGTGCTCCATGAGGTCACAGCCAATCGTGCTCCAGGGCAGAGCTGGGCGTGGAACCGGCTTGAGGGGCTCCCGGTGCTGTGTGCGGTGTTTCGTGCAGGTGGGGCACGTGGCAACCATGTTCTCAATCTGCTTGCTGAGGCCAGACCACCAGATGGAATCTTTGGCGCGTGCCTTGCATTTGGACACTCCCAGATGCCCGTCATGCAGGGAAGCGAGAACAGCGGAGCGCATGCTGGGTGGAATGACGATACGTGGGCCATGGTAGACCACTCCGTCCACACACGACAACAACTGACGTTCGTGGTAGTACGACTGTATGTCCTGCTCGAGACCTTTCGCTGAGCTAGGCCATCCGGTGCGGATGTACTGCAGGACACGGTTCAGGACTGGGTCGGCAGCAGTGGCAGAGGCAATCTCCCGGGACTTTCCGGATGACACGATGGATTGAATGGAAGCCGCAACGTTGATCGTAATCTCGGCATCGAGTGACGGTGTCTCCGTGCATGGCTCAGGTGATCGTGACAGAGCATCCGCCACAACGAGGTTCTTCCCTGCAAGCAGCGACCGGTCAACATTCGTACAGTCAAGTAGAGCCACTTTATAACCGAACGTTTTAGTTCCCTTTTCATCAGGAGTAAGTACAGGGAATAATGGAAAATGTCTAATTCAGTAAAATTACAAATTGTTACGAAATTGGCTCTACTTGACTTTGTGGATTGTGCCGATGCTTGAAGTTATTTGCTCTAACGAGGAACACACGCTTTCTGCCTAACTTGATACTTGACTGACTCACAACTGCCATCCAGGGCACACGAGGAGCACGTCGCAATTTCCACTCGGCAAACCTTCAAGAGAACACCACTCCTTGCTCAATACACAGTGTTTCGGGAATTCACCCCTCATCAGCTGAGCTTGAGTAGGCGGGAGGGGGGTTGTCTGGAGAGCACTATGTAAGCGGTGCTTTTCAGGTACAATCTTCCTCAGTCTACTCAAGCTCAACTGATGAGGGGTGAATTTATTACATAACTTTCAGCTCTTCTCCGTAATACAAACTGAATCAAAGGCACACATGAAGGCTTTCTTGTACTGTTGCAGCAGCTCTAGAGATGGCTCAATGACTATGTGCAGCCTGGGTGTAGATCCGCTATTAGAGAGAAGGTTGATGCATGTGCAGTAGAATGCTGATTATCCGAACGCCAACTGTCCGATCAATTATCCGAAATGCCGGTTTGCACTGAATATAGGGGGGACTAAAATCGTTTTTGCTTTCCCCCACCCAATGCACCATTCAAATGGTGCACTGGATGTATGGCAACAGGTTGGCATCAAAATGGGTCCCAAAGCATCAATTAAGAGGAGCTGGAGTGTCTAATTCCTGTAGACAGTAGTGCTGGTGAACAGAATTAGCCGTGAATGATGAAAACATGAGGGGACAATGATATGCATGTTTTAGATTGGTGTGTGGCCGCTCCCTTATCCCAACATACTCCTCATCCCAACCCCCTGGAGACAGCCCCATGCATGGAAGGGTGCAGACAACGGGCCGCGTGACTCTACTGTATATGGTCTATTGCGGATCACCGGTCTATGTGACAGTATTTGCTATCAGTACTGTACATGTATCTGTAGTCGATTTTGCCTGTTGTACAATACAGTATCGAGCAATAACATTGGGTTCTTCAGCTGATATTAAATGATGTGGTGCACCATACATTGCCCGGCCATACATTGCCCATGCATTGCCCATGCATTGCCCATGCATTGCTCATGCCCATGCACTGCACTCTGTTGTTTCTTGCACAGGTTGGTGAAGCGAGGTACAAAGCTCCAGAGGTGCTCGACGGCTCCATCAGCCGCTCGTCGTTTGAAGAGTTCCGTGCCGCTGACGTCTATTCGCTTGCCTTGATCATTTGGGAATTGGCGCATGCCTGCAGCCCTGCCAACGGTATGTCAGTACTGGTAGAAGATGACTACTGCTGCTGCTGCTGCTCATAAGATTATGACCAGGACTCAGGCCCGGCGGAATTGCTAAACTAATTTAATCGCGAATTGGTCCAAATTCAGAAAACGTTAAAGATTTTACACACACAAAAAAAACAGCCATTCTACAGCGCTTCCACAACCCACAATCGTCATGTTTATCACCATCGTGCAGAGTAACGAGTACTATAGTATATAGAGATAAATTTTCACAGCGTGCAAATTTGGAGCTTACAAGAATTGCAGTGGTTCACGTGTAGCGACCTGACGCTTACGTCATACGCATACGTCATACTCGGCAATCATTCTAAGCATGTGCAAGAAAATACACGTTTCTCTCTGGCCTATTTCTTCCTTGTTGCATGGTTGTCCATTGCAGTCGTTGTCGTCGTAGGGCCGACATAAATGTTGATAAAACCCTAAACACGATGAGAAACTTTCGCGATTTTATCTCTCCAGTTGGACCATGTATTATTATTATTGCAAATAACGCTGAGTAATTACACGATGTATAAAAACCAGCATTTTCTTCCGGGAAGGATTCACAAAAACAAACAACACCAGTGCACAATGCAATTGCACATATGGAAAGCTGCTTCCACCCCTTCCACCGGACCATGTATTGCCAGCACTCAATGTGCAGACCTGTTTGCGGTGCTAAATTAATGTTCGCAAATGGGTGATGATCGTGAAAATAACTCGGATACTGAGCCAGTAAATATAATTAATATAGAAGAAATCACATGGAAACGAGTTATGAAGCAACTATTCGCAACTGTAACAAGATAATAAGTGGTCAGAAAGTGCGATAACAGGGCACAAAAATGACAGGCTCCTGAGACATTCAACGACCTGAGACGTAGCTCTAACACACCTCCAGTGCGCAAACCAACAGCCTTTATAATCATACAGCTTGGAAGGTTCAAGACCCACCCAAGTTGGGTGGTGTGTTGCTTTGCTGCTTCGAATTGTAGTTAGATCGCATTGTCATGTTATTAACTGGTCTCGTCATC